CTAAAGCCATATACAATCACTTGACCATGAGTTTTCAAGGGTTTGAAGGTAGTTGTTTTGTTGCAAATATTAGAGAAGAAGTTTCTAATAAGGGACGACACAATGGTCTAGTTGGTTTACAAGAGAAACTTCTTTACAAAACACTCAAGAGAAAGAATTTTGAAATCGATAATGTTGATGAAGGAATAAATTTGATCAAAGCAAGACTTCAATCCAAAAAGGTTCTTATTGTTCTTGATGACATAGACCACATAAGTCAATTAGATTCATTAGCAGGTCAGCGAAATTGGTTTGGGTCAGGTAGTACTATTATAATAACAACTAGAGATTTTCACTTGTTGAGTGAGCTTGGAACACAAGAGAAGTACAAGGTTAAAACATTAAGCATCGATGATTCCTTGCAACTCTTAAGTTGGCATGCTTTTGGTGTTCCTATAGTATTAGAGGAGTATACTGAAGTATCCAAAATGATAGCAAGTTATACTGGGGGACTTCCATTAGCACTTACCATTATAGGTTCTCATTTGCATGGAAGATCGGTGCAAGAGTGGTTCGAAGATGTTGAGAAATTAAGAAGCAATCCTCGTGACGATATTCAAACAATTCTTGAAATAAGCTATGATGCACTTGATGGTGATACTAAAAACATCTTTCTTGATATTGCTTGTTTTTTTGTTGGGCATGAGAAAGAAGACACTGTTATGATATTGGAAGCTTGTGATTTTCATGCTAAAAGTGGAATCCGAAGTTTGATAGAAAGATGTTTGTTAACAATATATGGAGATGGAGAATTTAAAATGCTTGAGATGCATGATTTAGTACGGGATATGGGAAGAGAAATTATTCGGGAGGAATCTCCAAGAAATCCTGGCGTACGAAGTAGATTGGTGGACCCAAATGATATTTTTGATGTTCTACAAGGCAACAAGGTAAAACATTTCCTTTGTACTTGAGTTATTAATCTAGTTCATTTGCTTGTAATACTTAGTTTTATTAAAAATATGAAAGATTTTAGAGTATCTAACATATTGCTACATCAAACACTTTTTTAGGGCACAAAAGCAATTGAAGGGATGATCGTAAACTCTAACATGTTAAAGAATGTGCCTTTAAGTATGGAAGTATTCACAAGGATGGTAAATTTGCGAATACTCATATTAGATGGTGTGCCTCTTAGGGGATCTTTTAAATATTTGTCCAATGAGCTTAGGCTTTTAAGGTTGCATAGTTGCCGTTTGAGTCACATACAATCAGATTTTCATTGTGTGAAACTTGTTGAGTTAGACTTGAGCGCTAGCAATATCCAAGAATTTCAACCCAATATGCAGGTTAGTATATATGTCAAATACTTAAATATTTTATCATTGCATACTTGCTAAGAACTGCATGCATTAAAACCTCTGTATTTTATTTTCACAGCATTGTGTTTGCTTGAGGATGTTATATCTCAATAATTGTGAACAACTTAAGAGTACACCGGACTTTACTGGGGCACAAAGTCTTCAGAAAATATCCTTCGGAGGTTGTTCAAATTTGGAGAATGTGCACCCATCAATTGGAAGTTTGGAGAGGCTTGTTGACTTAAGTTTGTGGGGATGCAAGAAATTGAAGGTGCTTCCAAGTAGCATTTGCAAGTTAAAATCACTTGAGAAGTTAGACTTATCTAGTTGCAACAATTTGAGGGAGCTTCCAATTGACATTGGAAAATTAGAGCAACTAAGAAGATTATATGCTAAAAGAACTGGTATCTCACATTTACCCATTTCTTTGGGATGTTTGAGAAATCTAAAGTTGCTGGACCTGAAAAACCCTGCGAGTTTAGTAGCTGTTGATTTTTTTCCATCTTCAGTTGCCAATTTATGCTCATTGGAATGGCTGAGAGTGAGATTCAACAAATCGCAGCAACAAGTAAATCTTTCAATTGCTCTTGGGAGTTTGACCTTATTGACATATTTAGAGTTATCAGGAATTTGGCATCTTGAAAGCCCATCGTTGGACCTTTGTCATCTCTCCAATTTGAGAGAGCTCGACCTCAGGGACTTGCAAAATCTTAGAGTACTTTTAAAACTTCCACCTAGTTTGGAGGATCTTAGTGCATATGATTGTGAGTCATTAGAAAAAATTGCAGATATATCCAACTTAAGAAGACTTAAAAGTTTGTATATTGTGCGCTGCAAAAGTTTGGTTGAGCTTTCAGGCTTAGAGAGTGTTGAATCCTTACGAGAACTTACGATAGCACATCACAAAGCTCTGGCTATCCCTTATAACTATTTGCATGAGTGCCTACAAATAATCGATCTTGCAAGTTTGACCTCATTGGAATGTTTAAATTTATCGGGGTGTGGCTATAATCTTCAAAGCCTACCCTTCAGCCTTTCTCATCTTTTTAATTTGAAAAGTCTCAAATTGAATGATTGGCAAAATCTAAGAGCATTGCTATAACTTCCTCTTCGTTTGGAGGATCTCTCTACAAAAAATTGTGTGTCATTGGAAAAAATACAAAACTTGAAAAGACTGAAAAGGTTGGATATTTCCAATTGCAAAAGTTTGGTTGAGCTTCCAAGATGGGAGAGTCTTGAATCTGTTGATATAACAAACTGCAGTGGTTTGAGGATTCCTTCGGTTGAAAATTGGTTCCAGGTTAGTTAAGTTATGTTCCCCTCCCTCATCTTTGTCTGATTTGGTTTTATATATATATATATATATATATATATATATATATATATATATATATATATATATATATCTCGTTGGTAATGGTTTTAATATTTGATTGTGTATGTAGGCATGTTTTGAAGGTAATACTGTCCAGATTTGGCTAAATGCTGGCAGAGGTTATGTATGGTTCAGTATTCCAAGAGTTTTGGGGCATACAACAACCTTTAGAATCATGAACAGTGGTTTTGATGGTAAGGAGTTTGATGGAGTTGGTGTAAGTGTGAGAAGCAAAACCACTGGTGCTTGGATCGTAAAGGAGCCTCAGAAATATATTAAGTTTAAAAAGCATCAAGGAACTGAAATAGATGTGGGAACAATTAGGGGGATTGGAGAAGTATTGGAGGTGTTTATTTGAAATACAAAGAAACTCAGATGGAGAAGTGCGTTTCTTTCCATCCACAAGAGGCTTCGTAGAAATTCAAATTGATGATGATGATGATGATGATGGAACAACAGAAAATGAAATGGCGATACAAGAAAGTGATGATTCTTCAACAAGTAGAAGTAGTGTAGAAGAAGAAGAGCAGAAGAATTATGGTTGGATCAGGAGAAGAAGATGTTGCAGCAGCATTATTCCGGAGTTTGTCCTAAAGTGTTTTTGTTGGGATGAAGCTAAGGAAGATAGAACGAACATTAATAAGAAGAAGGTGAGAGTGGATGCTGATCAGATTACCATCCTCTGATCTACGGGCATCTGCTAAGGTTGTTATCAGTTTGTTTTTTTACTTATTCCATTACTTCTGGCTGAATTCTGATCCTTTTCTGAGGAATTTCCATAGTCAATTTTTTTTTTTCATGTTTTTGAATTTATAAACAATTTTTACTTTTAATGGGTATGGTGATCTTTAAAGGTCACTAAATGAATATTGATATATGCAGGTAATTAAAACAAGACTGAGAGCTGGAATAGTCAACAATGTTATTGTTATTGACGAATTATATTTGTTGGTTAATTACTATAAAATATTCAATTTTGGTTTAATGTCTGCTGCCGTGTTTCTGATTTGGTTTCTTATTTTTGTGTTTTATGCATTCCTTTTATTATTATTTTATTTTTAAAAAATCAATGTATAGACACAGATTATTTTATGCAATAAATTTAAATATTTGATCAGGTATGAGTCAAAGTTCATTGAGGTGATTACTAAAGAAGTGCTACGGGTGCTGAATTTTATGCCCATGAATGTTGCAAAGCATCCTGTTGGAATTGATTCTCATGTTACAGAAGTACTTAATTTATTAAAAATTCAAACAAATGATGGTGTTCGGATGATTGGAATTTTTGGCATGGCTGGTGTTGGGAAATCAACCCTTGCTAAGGCTATATACAATCACTTGACCATGAGTTTTCAAGGGTTTGAAGGTAGTTGTTTTGTTGCAAATTTTAGAGAAGAAGTTTCTAATAAGGGATGACACAATGGTCTAGTTGGTTTACAAGAGAAACTTCTTTACAAAACACTCAAGAGAAAGAATTTTGAAATCGATAATGTTGATGAAGGAATAAATTTGATTAAAGCAAGGCTTCGATCCAAAAGGGTTCTTATTGTTCTTGATGACATAGACCACATAAGTCAATAAGACTCATTAGCAGGTCAGCGAAATTGGTTTGGGTCAGGTAGTACAATAATAATAACTAGAGATTTTCACTTGTCGAGTGAGCTTGGAACACAAGAGAAGTACAAGGTTAAAACATTAAGCATTGATGATTCCTTGCAACTCTTAAGTTGGCATGCTTTTGGTGTTCCTATAACATTAGAGGAGCATACTGAAGTATCCAAAATGATAACAAGTTATACTGGGGGACTTCCATTAGCATTTACCATTATAGGTTCTCATTTGCATAGAAGATCGGTGCAAGAGTGGTTCGATGATGTTGAGAAATTAAGATGCAATCCTCGTGACGATATTCAAACAATTCTTGAAATAAGCTATGATGCACTTGATGGTGATACTAAAAACATCTTTCTTGATATTGCTTGTTTTTTTGTTGGGCATGAGAAAGAAGACACTGCTATGATATTGGAAGCTTGTGATTTTCATGCTAAAAGTGGAATCAGAAGTTTGATAGAAAGATGTTTGTTAACAATAGATGAAGATGGAAGATTTGAAAAGCTCGAGATGCATGATTTAGTACGAGATATGGGAAGAGAAATTATTCGAAACGAATCTCCAAGAAATCCTGGCGAACAAAGTAGATTGGTGGACCCAAATGATATTTTTGATGTTCTACAAGGTTAACAAGGTAAAACATTTCCTTTAATTTGTACTTGAGTTATTAATCTAGTTCATTTGCTTGTAATACTTAGTTTTATTTAAAATATGAAAGATTTTAGAGTATCTAACGTATTGCTACATCAAACACTTTTTTAGGGCACAAAAGCAATTGAAGGGATTATCATAAACTCTAACATGTTAAAGAATGTGCCTTTAAGTATGGAAGTATTCACAAGGATGGTAAATTTGCGAATACTCATATTAGATAGTGTGCCTCTTAGAGGATCTTTTAAATATTTGTCCCATGAGGTTAGGCTTTTAAGGTTGCGTAATTGCCGTTTGAGTCACATACAATCAGATTTTCATTGCGTGAAACTTGTTGAGTTAGACTTGAGCGGTAGCAATATCGAAGAATGTCAACCCAATGCAGGTTAGTATGTCTAATTCTTAATTATTTTAACGTTGCATATTTTCTAAGAACTTTGACTATAAAATAGAAATGCATTAAAACCTCTCTATTTTATTTTAACAGCATTTTTTATGCTTGAGGATAGTACCGTGTACAAAACCTAGTTTGTTCTTCGAAAGTAAACTCATCTCCATGGCTCTAGCCCATGGATGGTAATTGTGACCATCTAACACAGTGGATACCAAAATAAGAGAAGGATTCTCACTTGGATGAAGATAAAATGGACTCGCTGAGTCATTGGGATTGAAAATTGCATTCGTACCATTCGTCGAAGTTTGACCGGTCAGAGTCGAGACAGCCGGAGGTCCTGTAAGGAGGTCTGATGCTGCTTGTTGCTCCCGTCCACGCCATTTACACTGTCAACATTCAAAGCTCTGATACCATATCACAGTGAACAAACTGGAGACATTGACAGAGAGTAGAGAAGAATGAAGCAATCTGTTTATTGGGAAACACCGTTCTTGACTAACTAACTCATACTTTGAGAGAATGAGAGCTTATATACAGAAGGTAGGGAAATAACCACTAGTACAAAAAACATCAATAAAATCGACTAATTCGCGTCCAAAATTAGAACTTTGGATGCCAAAAGTATAATGCGGTGGCATTTTTATAATTAAAATGCCATTGTATAAATAATTTTTTTTTTTTTAATTTTAAAACAATTTTGGCATCCAAAGCTATGTACTTTGGACGCGAATATTAAAAGCCTTCTATTATTCGCGTCCAAAGCTGGGCACTTTGGACGCAAATAATAGAATCCCTTTACTCAGCCGCGTCCAAAGTGGTGCCACTTTGGACGCGCTTTATTAATTTTATCCCCCACAACCCTAGCATCAGATCAGATCGACGCACCACCTTCCACAGCAGATCAGATCGCAGCTCTCCATCCTCCACCGCACGCCGTCCATCACCGTCGTCCGGCCAGTCCAGTCCATCGCCGAACGCTGCCGCCCAAGCTTCTTCATCGTCCATAGCTCCGATCGCACGCACTGTCGCTGCTTCAGATCGCTTCCCCTCCGCTGCCGCCCAAGCTCGCCGCCACTGCCGCTCCAAGCTACTCACGCCGACCGCGCCCCCGGTCTCCAAGCTTCTGGTGATTATTCACACTTGTTTTTGCTTTCCTTGTGTTTTTATGTATGTGAAAATCTGCAATCTTGAGACCCTTTGAATCTTTGATGCAATCGGGTTACTTTTTTGAGCATATTGGAATATGTGTTCACGGATTTGAAGATTTGGGCCTTTTGGTCACTGGTTATTCACTACTTTTCTAAATGTCTTGTGGATGGAACATATATATTTATATTATATGGGATGATTTGTTTCTGATAAAGTTTTAAGGATTTGTATGTTTATGGTGAGGGTGTCATTCTGGGCAATGATATTGTATTGTCAAGTGTTCTAGTTTGATGCCTTTACATCATTTCTGCCCCTAATTTTGATTCAATCTGTCATTGTCAATTCATTATTATTCTGTGCTCAATTCATTATTATTTTGTTTGCAAATTGAACTGCAGGGTTGGATGGGGCCAAATTATTCAATTTCGACTGCATGTGCTACTAGCAACTTTTGTATATTGAGTGCCGCCAACCACATCATTAGAGGTGAAGCTGTAAGTATCTTTGTCTTACATTCTAAAGAGCTTTTGGAATTGTGATTCATTGATTGTATTAATGCTCTAGAAGCAATATTGTTATTCCAAACTAAATATCTTACAGAGAATATGATGTGGAAATGTTTTTGAGTATTGCAGGATGTGATGCTTTGTGGTGGATCTGATGCGGCTATTATACCAATTGGTATTATATCTTTGTCTCTCAGTTTTCAATTTGTTTAGATCCCTGTGCTTGTTTCAGTTCCTGTTTCATTTCTTGTTGCAGGTTTGGGTGGGTTTGTAGCTTGCAGGGCACTTTCTTAGAGAAACAAAGATCCTACTAAAGCTTCACGACCATGGGACAGTGTAATGTTGTTGATACCTCTGTTTTTATTCTCATGCTTTTGTTTAAGTTTTATCTTTTGAAAAGAGAAATTTCATTCATAGCCGCATAGGTTAAGAGGACCATAGACATGGTTATTAAAGAAATGGTTGTCATATCTTGGAATCGAACTCAGGATGCATGACATGTTACTTTGTTCTTGAGAATGCCCTGGTTTTTAGTGCCTACAACTTCAAATGAAGTAGTGCAACCAAAAACTTAATTTTCCATTATTTGGCAATATTTTAGGTTAAAATAATTACTTACATATTTTATACAGGGTCGTGACGGATTTGTCATGGGGGAAGGAGCTGGGGTTTTACTCCTGGAAGAGCTCGAGCATGCCAAGGTAAACTTAAAGATTCATTTCCATTTTCATTTTCTTTGGAACTCAAAAATCATTAGAATACCTTTGACTGGTTAGTTTTTTGAGGTGTGCTTTAATTTCGTTGTTTGGATGAGCAGAGAAGAGGTGCAAATATATATGCTGAATTCCTGGGTGGAAGCTTCACTTGCGATGCTTATCACATGACAGAGCGTCATCCCGAAGGTAATGGTTATACAGCTGGATATATACTTCAATATAAGAAACCCTTAAACGGCAGTCCTATTATTTGTGTTATTTTAGTTGAAGTGTATGCCTTGTAGCTTGATTGGACTTAAGACTACTTCTGTTTATCGATAAAGTAGTCTTAAGTCCAATTTAGCTACAGATTTGACACATACTTGAATTTGCCATTTTATGCAAGCAGGCACTGGTGTTATCCTATGTATAGAGAAGGCCTTAGCTCAGTCCGAGGTATCTAGGGAAGATGTGAACTATATAAATGCACAGGCAACATCGACACCAGCTGGGGATCTCAAGGAGTACCAAGCACTTGTAGTTACGAGTGAACTCAACAAAATCTATGATTGGTCACCTTCTAGGAGCAGCTGGTGGTGTGGAGGCTGTAGCAACTGTTCAGGTAACTTTTCTACTCGATCTCTCATAATTCCCCAGGTACCTAATACTTGCATATACATGATAAGGGGTCTGCTTGAGTAACTTTAAATCTTGTGTATACCCATGTAAAAGTTATTCTTTAGTAAATGCCTACTCTTTTATTGCAGGTTGAGGGTGAGATGGACAAGCTTGCAATGGAAGAAGCTGGCTTTCGTAATTGGGTATATGGGTTCTCAATATTTAGTGTTTACAATCTACTACTTGCACAGATACTATGAGGACCAATTGACTCAGATCGATTTCGCAGAGGTTGTTAGTTAATTTGAGCAGTTAAATGTGCAAGCAATGTGTTGATCATGTGGCATTCTTTCTGTTTATTTAGCAAAGCAATTGTCTGCCTGCATCTTATTTTAGCAAAATATCTTCTTTTTTTGGTATCTTCTAATTTGTTATTCAACTTGGAATAAATTGTGGCATTCTTTCTGTTTATTTACAGATTAAGATGGAGCCTCTTGCTATATCATTGGACGATGATCTTAACAATGCGGCAAAACAAGTCCAGGTTTGCACAATATAATGCTGCAACCAGAAGGTTTTGGTTCTCTGATTTTTTTTATTTTATTTTTAATAGGCATCTCGTATAATACTTGCAACTGATGGGGATCCACCTGGCTAGGCTCTAGCCGAAGAACTTGCCCGCCGTTTAGGGAGAGAAAGGTTTATATTTCTCTCCTTTGATGTTATGATCATGTGAATTAGCATTTTCGGAACTGATTGTCTATAGCTAGGAATTTTTACTTGCTAGTAGTTTTTGCTTTAATGGTAATTAGCATTTTCGGAACTGATTGTCTTAAAATTTGAAAGTTCATAGGGTCTTAGATCATTGGGTAGCAATGTTCTTTTCTAGATTATTCTTAGTCATTCATGTGTACATTGATGATAGTTATTTACATGAATTAGTAGAAGTTAATTATTTAAGAGGTATAACTTTACTTAATGATTAAGTGTTTAACCAGTTATATTGCAGTTTGTCCTCTTTCTCTCTTCATGCATAATCTATGGGGATGGGGGATAGTTTGAACCTATCATCTTAAGAACACTTAGAGAGTTTGCAGCTTTGACATACTGATTTGTTACTGTAATGCAATACATATTACGGAGTAATAATATATCAATTCCCAGATTAGAGTATGAGCAGAAGCGGGACATGGATTCAAGGATTACCAAATTGGGGGCAACACTTGAAGATATATAATGTACACAAATGCAAGCAGGTGTGCTTTAGTATGAATAAAAATTGGAGATTGATTACATCTTTAAGTAGTTTATTTTAATTGTTAACATTTAGAATTTGTAGTTTATTTGTAGTAAAATGTTATTAGAATTGAAATTTTAGATTGGTGTGTAGTATACATCTTAAATTGATTAATGTTGAAATATATTATTTGGTAGTTATGCTGGGATGTACATGAAAATAGTAGTAGTTTTATAAAAAAAATATTTTTTTTAAATTTTTTTTTACTATAGGCGTCCAAAGTTCAGAAACTTTGGACGCGTATAGTATTTTTTTTAAAAGAAGATGATTAATCGCGTCCAAAGTCGAAGAACTTTGGACGCGATTTACAGACTTTGCGCGTCCAAAGTTGACCAACTTTGGACGCGCAAAGTCTGTAAATCGCGTCCAAAGTTCTTCAACTTTGGACGCGATTAATCGTTTTTCGCGTCCAAAGTAGCTTTGGACGCTGATTGTATACAATCAGCGTCCCAGCTACTTTGGACGCGAATGAGCCTTAACTTTGGACGCGAATGACTGTTTTTGTACTAGTGAACAAACCAACAACAAACTATTAAAATATCTAAACTGCCTAACTGGTTGTTGAGGTGGCATCTGTGTTGGGTATATCTGTCAACATAGTGTCGAAAGCAATTGGCTCCCGTGTGACCGAAACCATTACAAATTTTACATTGATCATCAAAGCCATGTCCGCCACACTGCTGACCTCGGTGCGATCTGCCATGACTCCAGGCGAATCTGTTCTGGTTCTTCCGCGTCCCTTTAATAATTCAGGGATGACATTGATAATTCTTCTCAAACCTTCATCTAATTCTTCTCAAACCATCATTTGAAAATCTGAATGTATTGTATTGAATAAAAGTCAATTATAGAGATACGGATTGTAAGAATATGTATAAGACAGAATCACAGGGAGACTAAGATGATAAGAAGTTATAATCTAATCCAAATACATAGAGTCTTAACTACTGTCAGGTTTTCCACTCGCTAATCTTTCCATTTATTGCATCTTTCAACCCCAATTTTGCTCTTAGTTAAATAAAGGGAAAATTGTAATTTATGCCCCTCACAAATATTGCATCGTTACGGGAGGGGCTATATGTGCACCATTTTGATAATTAAGGGGCAACATTTACACCACTCATAATTCAGGGGTGACATTAATAATTGACATATTATAGAGGGGCATTTTTTACAATTTTTCCTAATAATAATAATAATAATAATAATAATAATAATAATAATAATAATAATAATAATAATAATAATAATAATAATAATAATAATAATAATAATAATAATAAGAGAAAAGGCTCAAATAGACCCCTAAACTTTACCCTAAAGGTCAGTTAGCCCCCTAAACTTTAAAAAAGGTCAATTAAACACTCAAACATGTTAAATTTGGTCAATGAAGCCCAAAAATCGGTAAATGACCTGTTATTACAGGTCATTTTAATTCCGGCGACGAAATCCGGCCACCAGTGACAGATTCCGGCGACCGGCGAATTTTTTTGGCGGCCGGCGAGATTTTTCGGCCGTCCGGTCGTCTTCCACTAGAGAAGACGACCGGACGGCTGCCTTCTCCAATGGAGAAGGCGGCAGGCGGCCGTCTGCCGCCTTCTCCAATGGAGAAGATGGCCGTCTGGTCGTCTTCTCCATTGGAGAAGATGACCAGATCTGGTCATCTTCTCCAATGGAGAAGACGACCACCAGACGGTCATCTTCTCCAATGGAGAAGGCGGCCGTCCAGTCCTCTTCTCCGGTGGAAGACGACCGGACGACTGGAAAATCTCGATCGCCGGCCGCCGGAAAATCTCGCCGGAATCTGTCACTGGTGGCCGGATTTCGTCGCCGGAATTAAAATGACCTGTAATAACAGGTCATTTACCGGTTTTTGGGCTTCATTGACCAAATTTAACATGTTTGAGTGTTTAATTGACCTTTTTAAAAGTTTACGGGGTTAATTGACCTTTAGGGTAAAGTTTAGGGGCTTATTTGACCCTTTTCTCTAATAATAATAATAATAACAATAATAATAATAATAAATAAAATAAAATAAATATGTCAGAATCTAGTAAGCGAAAATTGAGAGTTAACCTGTTAAAAACGTTAATTGCACTTCTTTTTTTTTTTTTTTCCGGTCTAGTGGTTTATTTGGAGGTTATTTGAGTTCGGTGGTTTAATTGTTGTTCCCAAATAATTTAGTGGTTTATTTGTAATCTAATATATAATGACTACATACATTATTACTATTAAAGAATATAAGAAAAGATATTGTGTATGTATGTTAGAATGTGTATAGTAATAATAATGGAAAAAGATAACAAAAGTTATAACGGTAAGGATATTTTTGTCTAAAAATTTATATAGTACAACTTTTATAGCATAATGTATAAAAAAAAATAACAAAAATAGACATAAATCAAGTATATATAACCTGGATTGAGACTTATTATATTTTTAGATTAGAGAGAATATGTCTAATTAAATTATTAGCTTATATATAATATATATGTAAGTGTACAATTCTAGTACACATTAACCTTTGTTTGACTAATTTATTTAGTGTTGTGTTTATTTGTGTTTAAATAAGAATTAAGTTAGTTTAAAATCTCTTTTGGACCACTTGTTATCATACAAAGTTAAATTGTGTGGATATCATGTTTTGACAAATGAAAGGGAAGTCAGCAATATTACAGTGAAGCGCTTCAAATGTAGAGTGTGTGGCTGTGGTTTATCGAGAAAAGAGGAAAGCTATTTTTAAGGATCAAGGGTGTGGATTAAGGATTAATCTTTGCTATAAAAGGGAAGTCACTCAAAGGAGAAGGTTGCCGATTTGAACTGCTATTCTGAATGCATACCTTCTCTACAAACCTATCTAATTAAACTGCCTATATTATATGTTTTAATTAAGAGTGTTTAAATCTGAACTACATGAATTGCATGTACCTGGTACTGCTGAAGCTTATTGTGAAGATTGTTATGACATGCACGTTTCAGTCCTGAATAGGTGTTAGGAAGGGTTGTAGTGGTAAAGGCTCTGAGTCGTTTGTAGTTACCTCTTGTAATACTCCTTAGTGAACATTTATAGTGGATTGGGCAGACGTGGGTTGCCAGGGACGGAGCCAGAAATTTGGTTAGGGGGGGAGGGGGGCGAAAAAGTACAAACGGATTCAGAAAATTTTTTCAATAAAGGTGAAACATTAAAACGAAAGAGATAATTTAAAAATAAATAAATAAATTATCTAAGAAATATAGTTATAAATATTGTTGGATATGGACGAAAAATAAAACACATTGAAACTTTATAAAAATATTCATAACAAAATATGAAACATAATTAATTTGATAATCATTAAATCTAAAGCCTGTAATATAATGGGAGGTACGTACTTTCCTATGGGTTTAACAATCATTGGGAGGTACGTACTTCCCTATCCTGACTTTGAAATCACCGCTGCTGATCTGTTAAACGCATTTTCAAAGCTCTTTAAATAAATCTTTAGTTCATAGCTCCAAAGGCAAGCTGCTAGAAAATCCAGACAGATAGTATACTCAGATTTCGATCGAGTATGGCATCATCATCATCATCTTCATCGTATGATCGCATGACGTACAATGTTTTCTTGAGTTTTAGCGGTGAGACACGAAAATCATTTTCCGATCATCTCTATGCAGATTTGAAGCAGGCTGGAGTTAACACCTTTCGGGATGATGACTCAATCCAGAGAGGCGAGGATATTTCTGCTGAGCCGTCTAGAACCATAGAGGAGTCGAGGATATCCATCATTGTATTCTCAAAAGACTATGCTGGATCCCGATGGTGTCTAGATGAGCTTGTGAAGATCATGGAATGTAAACAAAAGTTGAACCAAATTATTTTTCCCATATTCTACAATGTTGATCCTTCTGAGGTTCGCAAACAAACAATCACTTTTGGTGATGCATTGACTCTACATAGACAAGGATTTGGAGATCAAAAAGTTAATGAGTGGAAAGATACACTCACTGCAGCTGCTAACTTGTCCGGATGGGATTTGCAAACCATGTCAAATGGGTAATCCTAACTCTTTTAATTTCCTTTTATTTGTTGATATTTGCCAGACACACTTACTCATATAATAAATTCATATTTATGGTAATTTTTTAAAGAAAATTTTATAAATAATTGAAGAAGAAGAATCTGCATCTTCTAACTGTGCTTTTTAATTAAGTTTTATACGGAGTATTAACTTATTGATTATACATAAATATTAATTTTCTGTTTTACGCCTTCCATTTATTTTTGTTTTTTGTTTTTAAAATCAATGTATAGAAAAAGATTATTTTATGCAATAAATTTAAATTTTGATCAGGTATGAGTCAAAGTTCATTGAGGTGATTACTAAAGAAGTGTTACGGGTGCTAAATTTTATGCCCATGAATGTTGCAAAGCATCCCGTCGGAATTGATTCTCATGTTAGAGAAGTACTAAATTTATTACAAATTCAAATAAATGATGGTGTTCGGATGATTGGAATTTTTGGTATGGGTGGTCTCGGGAAATCAACACTTGCTAAAGCTATATACAATCACTTAATCATAAGTTTTCAAGGGTTTGAAGGTAGTTGTTTTGTTGCAAATATTAGACAAGAAGTTTCTAACAAGGGACACAATGGTCTAATTGGTTTACAAGAGAAACTTCTTCACAAAACACTCAAAAGAAAGGATTTTAAAATTGATAATGTTGATGGAGGAATAAGTTTGATCAAAGCAAGGCTACAATACAAAAGGGTTCTTATTGTTCTTGATGACATAGACCACATAAGTCAAATAGAATCATTAGCAGGTCAACGAAATTGGTTTGGTTCAGGTAGTACAATTATAATAACAACTAGAGATCTTCACTTGTTGAGTGAGCTTGGAACACAAGAGAAGTACAAGGTTAAAACATTAAGCATTGATGATTCCTTGCAACTCTTAAGTTGGCATGCTTTTGGTGTTCCTATAGCATTAGAGGAGTATACTGAAGTATTCAAAACGATAGCAAGTTATATTGGGGGACTTCCATTAGCACTCACCATTATAGGCTCTCATTTGCGTGGAAGATCGGTGCAAGAGTGGATTGAAGATATTGAGAAATTAAGAAGGAATCCTCATGACGATATTCAAACAATTCTTGAAATAAGCTATGATGCACTTGATTGTGATACTAAAAACATCTTTCTTGATATTGCTTGTTTTTTTGTTGGGCATGGAAAAAAAGACACTGTTATGATATTGGAAGCTTGTGGTTTTCATGCTGAAAGTGGAATCAGAAGTTTGATAGAAAGATGCTTGTTAACAATAAAAGGAGATAGAGAATTTAAAGAGCTTGAGATGCATGATTTAGTACGGGACATGGGAAGAGAAATTGTTCGAAAGGAATCTCCAAGAAATCCTGGCAAACGAAGTAGATTGGTGGACCCAAATGATATTTTTGATGTTTTACAAGGCAACAAGGTAAAACATTTCCTTTGTACTTGAGTTATTAATCTAGTTCATTTGCTTGTAATACTTAGCTAGTTTTATTAAAAATATGAAAGATTTGAGAGTATCTAACATATTGCTACATCAAACACTTTTTTAGGGCACAAAAGCAATTGAAGGAATGATCGTAAACTCTAACATGTTAAAGAATGTGCCTTTGAGTACGGAAGTATTCACAAAGATGGTAAATTTGCGAATACTCATATTAGATGGTGTGCTTCTTAGAGGATCGTTTAAATATTTGTCCAATGAGCTTAGACTTTTAAGGTTGCGTAACTGCCATTTGAGTCACATACAATCAGATTTTCATTGTGCGAAACTTGTTGAGTTAGACATGAGTAAAAGCAATATCGAAGAATTTCAACCCAATATGCAGGTTAGTATGTCTAATACTTAATTATTTTAACATTGCATATTTGCTAAGAACTTTGACTAAAAAATAGAAATGTATTAAAACCTCTATATTTTATTATTAACAGCATTTTGTATGCTTGAGGAGGTTAGAGATCAATTGTTGTGAACAACTTAAGAGTACACCAGACTTTACTGGGGCACAAAGTCTTCAAGAAATATCCTTCGGAGGTTGTTCAAATTTGGCGAATGTGCACCCATCAATTGGAAGTTTGGAGAGGCTTGTTGACTTAAGTTTGTGGGGATGCATGAAATTGAAGCTGCTTCCAAGTAGCATTTGCAAGTTAAAATCACTTGAGTCCTTACATTTAGCTGGTTGCAAGAATCTGAGGGAGCTTCCAATTGACATTGGAAACTTAGAGCAACTAAGAAAATTAATTGCTATGCAAACTGGTATCTCACATTTACCCATTTCATTTGGATGTTTAACAAATCTAGAGTACTTAGATCTGGGAAAGTCTGTGGGTTCAGTAGCTGTTGATTTTTTTCCATCTTCAGCCGCGAATTTATGCTCATTGGAATGGCTGACAGTGAATTTCTTCAAATCGCAGCAGCAAGTAAATTTTCCAATTGCTCTTGGGAGTTTGACCTCATTGACATATTTAGAGTTACAGGGAAATTGGTATATTGAAAGCCTATCATTGAACCTTTGTCATCTCTCCAATTTGATATGCCTCTCCCTCAAGGATTTGCAAAATCTTAGAGCACTTTTAAAACTTCCACCTAGTTTAAAGGTTCTTGGTGCAATAGATTGTGAGTCATTAGAAAAAATAGCAGATATATCAAACTTGAGAGGACTTGAATCGTTGTATATTCCCAATTGCAAAAGTTTGGTTGAACTTCCAAGATGGGAGAATCTTGAATGTATTGAGATGACAAATTGCAGTGGTTTGAGGATTCCTTCTGTTGAAAATTGGTGCCAGGTTAGTTAAATTATGTTCCCCTCCCTCATCATTGTCTGTTTCGATGGTAATGGTTTTGATATTTGATTGTGTAGTAATAATAATGATGATGATGTAGGCACGTTCTGAAGGTAATATTGTCCAGATTTCACTTGTAGTCTTTGGAGATTATGTAGGTTGCGGAATTCCAAGACTTTTGGGGCATACACCCATTGAAATCTATAACCGTGGTTTTGATTGTAATGAGGAGTTTTATGGAATTGGTGTAAGTGTGAGAAGCAAAAGCAGTGGTGCTTGGATCGTAAAGGAACCTCAGAGATATATTAAGTTTAAATCGTGTGAAGAAATTGAATTTGAGGTGGGAACAAGGATTGGAGAAGTATTGGAGGTGTATGCTCATTTCCATCCACCTCTGCAGAAGATGCAGCAGCTTTGTTGTTTATTTGAAATACATAGAAACTCAGATGGAGAAGTGCGTTTCTTTCCATCCACAAGAGGCTTCGTAGAAATTGAAATTGATGATGATGATGATGGAACAACAGAAAATGAAATGGCGATACAAGAAAGTGATGATTCTTCAACAAGTAGTACTGTAGGTGAAGAAGAAGAAGAAGAAGAAGAAGAAGAAGAGGAGCAGAATTATGGTTGGAGCTGCAGGAGCAAGAGAAGAAGATTTTGCAGATAGCTGGTTTTGTTTGAGGATTCCATTCCTTCAATTATATTGAAAAGTGGTACGTACATACGGTTGAATGTTAGTTAGTTAGTTATGTTGAACTTAATTTATCTGTACCGCGGCACTTTGTCTCTGATATGATAGATTATTTAATTTGGTGTGTTAATTTATATTATATTATTATTTGTGAACGTAAAATATATATATTTTTTTAAAGTACAATATTTGGATAATTTGTCTTCATGAACCATACATTAGAGGGCAGGTGTTATTAAATGATTGAAAACATGATTTAACGGCTTCGTATAGTATTTGATCCTATTTTATCTTGTTTTTATATATATGCTTGCTTAAAATTAATTAATATAGTAGTGATCATGTTCAAAACCTACGTAAAGGAATTAATATATTTCATTTGCTTTGTTTGTGAAGCTTTGGACGAAATGGCTGCTATCATTCAAGGGATTGAGGCAGTAGCTGCTGTTTTTTCAACCTATTCTTTTGACAAAAAGAAACACCGCATTTTTACTCCCAGATCTTTCTCAGGTTTGGGATTGTTTCTGATCTCAATTCGTTCTCTTTCCTTGAATTAACAATGGGTTTTGATTTGTTTTGTTTAAATTTGTTATCTTGCTTAGTTTGCAAAATGCTATCTTTGTTTTTGTCCTTAGTTTATCAAACTGGAATCTCTGAATTTGCTGTTTATGGGTTTCATTAGTTATTCAGCCTGTTTAATAGTATTGTATGTCTCCAGCGAGCTGAGTGACTAAATTTGTATGAATTTTATATGATTAGATTAGATTGATCGAATTCTCTACTCGATCATCTGTTGTTTATCCACATAACTATGGTTTCATTCCAAGGACCAGAGAGCAGCTATTGATGACTCATAACTATGGTTTCTACTCAATTAATTTTGGTTCCCACTTGGCTGATACACTTCCAATACTAATCGATCAACTACTGTAGATTAGTGCATCTGAGAATGATGAGGAAGTTGGAGAACACATGCACAGCAGAAGATATATTAATACTAGCAGGGTAATGCAAGGCCCAACATTAATGTATAAGCTTAGAAAAATAGTAAACTGAAGAAAATCAGAGGATCAAAGAAGTTAGTGTGGAAGGAAACAATATATTCTGGAAGGGATGGTGTTTGAGTAGAAACTAAAGTTGTATCACGTTGGACTTTGAATTGGTAAAGTGAGAAGTATTTTTCTTATTATGTTAGCTACTTTGATCAGCTGATTGTAAAAAAGTGTTTGGTAAATTAACTATTTATAATTAGTTTATTATAGATGAAATGACTTATAAGGACATGAGATTATTGTTTAATATATTTAATTGACTGTGGCTCTATAGTATATAATTTATTTTAGAGTTTATAACTTATTTTTAAAAAAAAAAGTTATAAATTTTGTTTGATAAAACATGAGTAGTTTAGAATAATAGTTTATTTTCAAATGCTGTTCTAAGTAGTTTTTCAAAATAAGCTAGTAGTACGTAGTTACTAACTTTTAAAATTTCAATTTTAAACAAACTTATTAATTTGGTATCTCAAAATGTCAAATATAATAGAGCTGAGCTTATAATGTTTAGTGCTGGTTTATTCAATTTGATTTCTTAGTTTAGTGTTTTTATCTTCTTTTATTTATACTTCAAATGTGACACAAATATAAGGAAAAAAGCAGGCAAATTATGTTGTGCATACGGATGCAAAAACGACGTCGTTTTATTAAAAACGCGCGTCTCTCCTTAAAAAAAAAAAAAATTCAGGTTCGATTTACAGCAATAACATATGAACTAAAATTTCAGAATCGATGAACTATAATTCCATAATCGATGAACTATAATTCCATAATCGATGAACTAAAATTCCAGAATCTAATATATGAACTAAAAATTCCAGAATGAATGAACTAAAATTCCAGAATCTATGAACTAAAAGTTCATAATCGATGAACTACAATTCCAGAATCGATGAACTATAATTCCAGAATCAATGAACTAAAATTCCATAATCTATGAACTAAAATTCCAGAATGAATGAACAACATATTGCTGTTGCTGGAAATCGAACTTGAATTTTTTTTTAAGGGGAGACGCGCGTTTTTAATAAAACGACGTCGTTTTTGCATCCGTATGCACCATGCATGGTGCATACGGATGCACACTTGCCCAGCATAACTACTCAAAAAAGCATGAGCACTTAACATGATTGATGGTAAATAGGTGGGGTCTAGGAAAAGGATGCATTAGTATGTGGATGGTCCCATTATGTGGAATTATTGGCTTGGTACGGTGTAATGGGAAATTATTAAGAAGACCAACTAAGTCATCGCTGCTGATCTGCTACACGCGTTTTCAAAGTTTTTAACACAAATCTTTAGTTCATAGCTCCAAAGGCAAGCTGATCGAAAATCCAGACAGACAGATAGTATGGCATCATCATCATCTTCTCCATCGTATGCTCGCATGACATATGATGTTTTCTTGAGTTTTATGGGTGAGACGCGAGGATCCTTTTCTGATCATCTCTATGCAGATTTGAGGCGAGCTGGAGTTAACGTCTTCCGGGATGATGAATCGATCCGGAGAGGTGAGGATATTTCTGTTGAGCTATCTAGAGCCATAGAAGAGTCAAGGATATCCATCATCGTATTCTCCAAAGACTATGCCGGATCCAGATGGTGTCTGAATGAGCTTGTGAAGATCATGGAGTGTAAACAAAAGTTGAATCAGATTGTTTATCCCATATTTTACCATGTTGATCCTTCAGAAGTTCGTAAACATACAAGCACCTTTGGGGATGCATTGACTCTACACAAACACCGATTTGAGGATCAGAAAGTTAATGAGTGGAAAGATGCACTCACTGTAGCTGCTAACTTGTCTGGATGGGATTTGCAAACCATGTCAAATGGGTAATCCTAACTCTTTTGATTTCCTTTTATTTGATTATATTTGCCTGCTGACACACTTACTCATATAGTAAATTCATATATATGGTAATTTTTTTAAAGAAAAATTTTAAAAATAATTGAAAGAGAAAAATTTGAATCTTCTAACTGTGATTTTTAATTAATTAATTTTTAAAAATAGTAATTGTTGACTAATTTTGTTGTCTTAAATTACTGACAAAAATATAAATTTTAATCTCGATCAAACTGGAAGAATCAAAGACCAAGATAAAGTGAGAATATAAGTTTCCGTTAATTAAGAAATCACATTCTTATGCGGACTACAAATAAAGGATCTCTTGTAAGGATATATAAAGATTTCCAGTCAACAAGGAAAGAAATGCATTCAATTCCCTATCTTATGTACTAAGACCCGAGAATAGAGAATTTCACTTAGGAGAAATATTAGAGTGAGGTTTTAATAGAGAGAGAGATAGTGATATCTATATTTTATTGTGTAAAATTGTTCCGAAATTCTGTACTTTGAAATTGTGGTCATAATGGATTCAAGTTTTTTCTCAACAAGAAGTGCCTAGCAGATTAGGTATTAGTGTTCTAAACAATCACACCCTTCACAAATTTTCAGTATTAATTTATGATTGATTATAAAAAAAAAAATATTAAATTTTTTGAACTTATAATAATTGACGATCGTATTTTCTAATGAGTAGTTGTATTAGTGACGGAATTTTTTTGTCACAAAAGAACGTTTTAGTGACGGTAAATACACCATCACTATATGCTTATTAAGGATGATATCATATCCCATCACTATTTGTTTTTATCCTCGGAAGAAATAACGACGGGTAGTGACGGTAAATTTTCCGTCATTAAAAGTCTTTTATGATGGTTTTTTATTTTTTTAGTGATGGTTTTACATCTAACTAATGAACAATTTTCTTGTAGTGCGAATTGTATTTGTTGGTAACAATATTTAATTAATAGAAAATATTTAAAAATCTCTTAGTAAATTTTGTCTGCAAAATATAATTTACTAGATTCTTAACATAATCTGTATTTGAAAATCTAATTTATGTTGAATTTTAATTTGTACCCATGGATCTAATCTGTATTGAATTATTGATATACAGTTCAATATTTTAAAGATGGAAAATTCTTTCACACTTTTAGCCTATAAGTATGCATGCATCATATATAACAAATAAATATAAACATGTAATTCATTATTAGCTCAACTTTTTAATGTTATTATTAGCTTAACTTTTTAATTGAAACTGAAAATATCCTTCAATTTGGTATTAGAACCAACTCATGTAAAAGGCCATGACTCAAATCACCATATTATCCAACAATAAAAATAAATTATGGTCCACTTGTTGCTAATTCAACTATTAGCTTAACCTTTTAGTCAAGAAAGAGAACACATTTTTAAATTATTATTGCGATGGATTATTAATTGGTCGTAGTCTACGATTTAATTGGTAGAATAGTGTTTTAATTAATGTCTGCTGTCGTGTTTTCAATTTGGTTTCTTAATTGTGTTTTTTGCCTTTTTTTTTTGTTTTGTTTTTTAAATCAATATATAGACAGATTAATGCAATAAATTTAAATCTGATTAGGTATGAGTCAAAGTTCATTGAGATTATTACTGAAGAAGTGCTACGAGTGTTGAATTTTATGCCCATGAATGTTGCAAAGCATTCCGTTGGAATTGATTCTCTTGTTGGAGATGTACTTCATTTATTACAAATGCAAACAAATGATGGTGTTCGGATGATGGGAATTTTTGGTATGGGTGGTGTCGGAAAATCAACCCTTGCTAAAGCCATATACAATCACTTGATCATGAGTTTTCAAGGGTTTGAAGGTAGTTGCTTTGTTGCAAATATTAGACAAGAAGTTTCTAATAAGGGACGACACAATGGTCTAGTTGGTTTACAAGAGAAACTTCTTCACAAAACACTCAAACGAAAGAACTTTGAAATTGATAATGTTGATGAAGGAATAAGTTTGATCAAAGCAAGGCTGCAATCCAAAAGGGTTCTTATTGTGCTTGATGACATAGACCACATAAGTCAATTAGACTCATTAGCAGGTCAGCGAAATTGGTTTGGTTCAGGTAGTACAATTATAATAACAACTAGAGATGTTCACTTGTTGAGTGAGCTTGGAACACAAGAGAAGTACAAGGTTAAAACATTAAGCATTGATGATTCTTTGCAACTCTTAAGTTGGCATGCTTTTGGTGTTTCTATAGCATTAGAGGAGTATACTGAAGTATCCAAAACGATAGCAAGTTATGTTGGGGGACTTCCATTAGCACTTACCATTATAGGCTCTCATTTGCGTGGACGATCGGTACAAGAGTGGATTGAAGATATTGAGAAATTAAGAAGGAATCCTCATGATGAGATTCAAACAATTCTTGAAATAAGCTATGATGCACTTGATGGTGATACTAAAAACATCTTTCTTGATATTGCTTGTTTTTTTGTTGGGCTTGAGAAAGAAGACACTGCTATGATATTGGAAGCTTGTGATTTTCATGCTAAAAGTGGAATCAGAAGTTTGATAGAAAGATGTTTGTTAACAATAGAAGAAGATGGAAGATTTGAAATGCTTGAGATGCATGATTTAGTACGGGATATGGGAAGAGAAATTGTTCGAAATGAATCTCCAAGAAATCCTGGCGAACGAAGTAGATTGGTGGATCCAAATGATATTTTTGATGTTCTACAAGGCAACAAGGTAAAACATTTCCTTTAATTTGTACTTGAGTTATTAATCTAGTTCATTTGCTTGTAATACTTAGTTTTATTTAAAATATGAAAGATTTGAGAGTATCTAACATATTGCTACATCAAACACTTTTTTAGGGCACAAAAGCAATTGAAGGGATGATCATAAACTCTAACATGTTAAAGAATGTGCCTTTAAGTATGGAAGTATTCACAATGACGGTAAATTTGCGAATACTCATACTAGATGGTGTGCTTCTTAGAGGATCTTTTAAACATTTGTCCAATGAGCTTAGGCTTTTAAGGTTGCGTAATTGCCGTTTGAGTCGTATACAATCGGATTTTCGTTGTGCGAAACTTGTTGAGTTAGACTTCAGGCGTAGCAATATCAAAGAATTTCAACCCAATATAAAGGTTAGTATGTCTAATACTTAATTATTTTTTTTAACATTGCATATATTTGCTAAGAACTTTGACTAAAAAATAGAAATGCATTAAAACCTCTCTATTTTATTTTAACAGCATTTGGTATGCTTGAGGATGTTAAAGCTCAGTTTTTGTGAACAACTTAAGAGTACACCAGACTTTACTGGGGCACAAAGTGTTCAGAAAATATCCTTCGAAGGGTGTTCAAATTTGGCGAATGTGCACCCATCAATTGGAAGTTTGGAGAGGCTTGTTAAGTTAGATTTTTGGGGTTGCAAGAAATTGAAGTTGCTTCCAAATAGCATTTGCAAGTTAAAATCTCTTGAATTCTTAAATTTATATCGTTGCAAGAATCTAAGGGAGCTTCCAATTGACATTGGAAAACTAGAGAAACTAAGAATATTATATGCTGAAGAAATTGGTATCTCACATTTACCCATTTCTTTGGGATGTTTGAGAAATCTATTGACACTGACGCTGGGAGTGCTTGTGGGTTCAGTAGCTGTTGATTTTTTTCCATCTTCAATTGTGAATTTATGCTCATTGAAAACTCTGATTGTGAGATTCAACAAATCACAGCAGCAAGTAAATCTTCCAATTGCTCTTGGGAGTTTAACCTCATTGACATATTTAGAGTTATCAGGAATTTGGTATCTTGAAAGCCTATCGTTGGACCTTTGTCATCTCTCCAATTTGAGAAAGCTCAACCTCTTCGATTTGCAAAATCTTAGAGCACTTTTAAAACTTCCACCTAGTTTGAAGAATCTTATTGCAGATGATTGTGAGTCATTAGAAAGAATAGCAGATATATCCAACTTAAGAAGACTTGAAACTTTGTATATTGTATGCTGCAAAAGTTTGGTTGAGCTTTCAGGCTTAGAGAGTCTTGAATCCATACGAAAGATTACGATAACACAGCACAAAGCTCTGACTATCCCTTATAACTATTTGCAGTGCCTACAAATAATCGCTCTTGGAAGTTTGACCTCATTGGAATATTTAAATTTATCAGGGTGTGGCTATCATCTTCAAAGCCTACCCTTCAGCCTTTCTCATCTTTCTAATTTGAAATTTCTCATATTGAATGATTGGCAAAATCTAAGAGCATTGCTACAACTTCCTCTTAGTTTGGAGCATCTCTCTGCAAAAAATTGTGTGTCATTGGAAAAAATAGAAAACTTGAAAAGATTAAAATGGTTGGGTATTCCCAATTGCAAAAGTTTGGTTGAGATAACAAATTGCAGCAGTTTGAGGATTCCTTCAGTTGAAAATTGGTTCCAGGTTAGTTGAGTTATGTTCCCCTCCCTCATCTTTGTCTGCTTTGGTTATATAATAATAATAATAATAATAATAATAATAATAATAATAATAATAATGATGATGATGATAATGTAGGCACGTTCTGAAAGTAATATTGTCCAGATTTTGCTTCATGCCAGCAGTGGTTATGTAAGTTGCAGTATTCCAAGACTTTTGGGGCATACACCCATTAGCTTCAGTAATAGAAGTTCTGATGGTAATGAGGAGTTTGATGGAGTTGGTGTTAGTGTGAGAAGAAAAACCACTGGTGCTTGGATCCTTAAGGAACCTCCAAAATATATTAAGTTTAAAGATTTTGAAATAGAGGTGGGAACAAGTGGGATTGGAGAAGTATTGGAGGTGTATGCTCATTTCCATACTCTGCAGAAGAAGATGCTGCAGCTTTGTTTATTTGAAATACAAAGAAACTCAGATGGAGAAGTGTGTTTCTTTCCATCCACAAGAGGCTTCGTAGAAATTCAAATTGATGATGATGATGGAACAACAGAAAATGAAATTAAATTAATGGCGGGGATACAACAAAGTGATTCTTCAACAAGTAGTAATGTAGGTGTAGAAGAAGAAGATCAGGAGAATTATGGTTGGATCAGGAGAAGAAGATGTTGCAGCAGCATTATTCCCGAGTTTCTCCTAAAGTGTTTTTGTTGGGATGAAGGAAGATAGAACTAACTTTATCCAACAAAACAGACATAGAAATTAAGAAGATCGAAGCGGAAGAAGATGGTGAGAGTGGATGCAGATATGATTTCCATCTGTGATCTGATGTACAGCTAGCTAGCAAGCTAGGTATGTATGTTCAACTCATCTCATCTCTATTACTTCAATTCGTCTCTGATAAATGATTTGGTGTGCATGTTTATATTATATGATAGTAGCCTAGCTAGGTTGTAATAATAATTAGAATACATATTAATTAAGTGTATATATGTTATATTAATTCCATAATTAATATAATGTCGGCACAGCATGCAGGTTCTGAAGATGAATGATAGTTGTCTCTTGGATGTCTCTTTGCCATAGCCTGAAAGTTGTCTTCATATCCATTTGGTAAAGGTTTACTTTATGCTTTGCACTTTTATGGGTCGTTCAATAAATGTCCAAGTGTAATAGATGTATCTTTAATATAGTAGAAGCTAGAAACCATTTGCATATTATTCCTTAGTTGAGGAAGCTCAAAATGATTATGAAATAATTGTAGATGCCACTGCTCTAACCTATTTTACTAGAACCATTGTAAGGGGGGAGAGTGTAACACCCGTGTTACGGCCCCTAAAGCTAATTAATTAATTAACTAATAGCCCAAAAGAAAGAATAAACTATAAATGATTAATTAGGGAAAAAAACCCACCATAGTCCGTGGGCCCTCAAATCTAAACCCAACCCCTAATCCCAATAAGATTAGACTCTAAATAAGATCCCTAGATCTATAAATAGGGAACTTAGGAGGCACCTAGAACCCCCACCACAAGAATAACGCCCACCACCCCAAAGAGCTCCAAGAATCTCCCTAGAAGAAATCAAGAAAGCAAGAAAGCTTAAAGAAAGATCCTTCATAGCCAAGGAATTAATTAAGGCTAAGAGGTAACCCATGTCTCAACAAAACCTATTTTCATAGTTATGATTCCCCCTTAGGGTTTCCCCATATTATTGTGTATTGATGACTTGTGATGATTATTATTGATGATTGATGTGATGATCCCATGGGGGATCTTGATAATCTTGATATTGGGAGATTCTTGATAATTATGATGTTCTTGGTGATTATATGGAGTTCTTGATGATTATGTGTTGTTCTTGATAATCGTGTGATGCCCTTGATGCTTATGTGTTATTCTTACCGAATCTTGCAATTAGAAGGCGAATCGTATTCTTGTTGATATAAAAGTGATTAGAACCCTAGGTTGTATCGTATGATATTATTCTTGGATTATCGGGTGGGGAAATCGCATGTTTGGGTGTTGTTTATGTTTAGAAAAACATGATAGGTTATGTGCCGTTCGTTTCTCGTATTTGATCCGTTAATTGTCTACGTGTTGTCGTTGATTGCGTTGTAAAGTGTCTAAGCATGGTTTCGGGTTCCACAATGGTTCCCGGGGCGAAATTGTGTGATAAGTGTAACACCCCAGATTTTCAAGACTTTTTAAAACTTATAATAAAGGTAGAATCTCATTAAATCCCAAGATATAAATACAAGCGTACGGGGTGCTATGCCACACCTGGGCTAGAGAACCCAAGTGCACAGGCTATCTAACTAATACCCTCAAAGCGTAATTACGTAAACGTGGCACGCAGGCCAAAAAGGAAAACTATCTACTTCTATACTCCAAGTTCTAGCGCGCTCCAGCGACTTAATCTTCTGTGCCTGAAAACCAAATATATCTGTTCAGCAAGAAATGCTGGTAACCCACTCCAACGCGTTGAAATACAATACAAATAGAGATATATATAGATATACGAAAACCATTTTGAGCATGAAGATATATCCTACGAACTCTAGCTTTAAAACCGGGAATGACTCGACAGATAGGCCAGACGCAAGCAACAGTTATAACGAGCATATGCAGTTCATAACGGATAAGGCAGATAAGGCAAAGCATAACGATAATCACAACCCAACATAAACAATCCCCAACATAAATCCCACAGTCACATTCCCCCAAGACACTCATAATCACAACTCATCCATATCACAACACATAGCACACTTTGTTGGCGCCACAGGACCAATCGCATGCCCATACATGAGGGTCAGCGCATATAGCTCTGACACGGCCCCGCAGCACCCTGCCCCGTAACGCAACACGGAGGGGTCGATCGCAACCGACCGATGAACCGCAGCTCATCATAGTGTTTGATCTCAACCAAACAGTGGACCGCAGCCCAAGAGAATGTCATCTGACCGCAGCCAGGAAAAAGGACGAACCGCAGCTCGTATAGAAACGTTTGATCGCAACCAAACGGTGGACCGCAGCCCAAGAGTATCAATCTGACCGCAGCCAGCTTCTGAACTGCAGCTCAGGATAACCAATCCGATCGCAACCGAATTGGGGTAACACACACACATAACACATAGCAAGCACATGCAACCCATATTACACATTGGGAAGGGGGAGAAAGCGCATAACAAAACCTATGCGTGATCCATCACATACTAAGAATAGTCCTAAGGGGTTCATACTCCTTCCACCTAGGTCAACGGGATACCAATTCAACTAGCATGCAATATAATAGACTCGTAAACCTACGAATGGTACCCGAAACATCAAACTAGACATAGGCACGATAACGGAGTCCGTTGGGACACCACGGGGAACGGGGGAACATCAAACGGGGAAGCCGGGGTCCCAAAGTGGGATAATTTCCAGCGGGTAGCCGGTGGGTGGGGGCCACCCGTCGGACTTTACTGTTCCGGGCAGCGGGTCACCGGCGGGCAGCTGCCCGCCCGCCGACCACCCGCAGCCGGGCGGTGTTTCATGGCTGTGGGTAGGTGGCGGGTCCCCTACCCCCCACCTACCCCACACTGACTCTTTTCACACACTTTACGCCCCGGGAACCGTTGTGGAACCCGAAACCATGCTTAGACACTTTACAACGCAATTAACGACAACACGTAGACAATTAACGAATCAAATACAAGAAACGAACGGCACATAACTTATCATGCTTTTCTAAATATAATCAACACCCAAACATGCGATTTCCCCACCCGATAATCCAATAATAAGATCATATGATACAACCTAGGGTTCTAATCACTTTTATATCAACAAGAATACGGTTCGTCTTCTAATTGCAAGATTCGGTAAGGATAACACATAAACATCAAGAGCATCACCCAATTATCAAGAACAACACATAATCATCAAGAACTCCATAATTATCAAAAATCTCCCAATAACAAGATTATCAAGATCCCCCATGGGATCATCACATCAAACATTAATAATCATCATCATGTCTCGCCAATCACAATAATATGGGGGAAACCCTAAGGGGGAATCATAGCTATGAAAATAGGTTTTGTTGAGACATGGGTTACCTCTTAGCCTTAATTAATTCCTTGGCTATGAAGGATCTTTCTTTAAGCTTTCTTGATTTCTTGATTTCTCTAGGGGAATTCTTGGAACTCTTTGGGTGGTGAGAGATTAATGTGGCGGGGATTCTAGGTGCCTCCTAAGTTCCCTATTTATATATTTAAGACTCCTAGTTAGGGTCTGAATGGTATGGGTTTACTAATTCTATTCCTTATAGGGCTAGGGCTTGTTTTAGGGATAAGGGTCCATGGTCCATAGTGGACCATATTAATTAAAGAGAATCCTAATCCTAATCTGAATAGTAAAAGGCCTACTTCCTTTATTCCTAATAGGCTTAAGACTCTTATTCGGGCAAGGGTCCACGGTTCATGGTGGACCTCACTGATTAATTAAAGGTAAACCTAACATAATTAAATCATATTTAATTATTATTAACGGGATTAATTAAATATTTAATCCGAGATTGAAGGTCGTAACACGGGGTGTTACACTCTCCCCCCCTTACGAGAAGCTTCGTTCCCGAAGCTTGGAAATCGTTGCAGGGTTAACGAGTCAAGAGTAGAACCGTGGTCCTATAGAGAGGGTATTCCACAGGGAAATTGTATACTTGTGCGCCTATGCGTGTTTGGTTTTTGGGAACGATTAGGTTTACAGGGCTAAGAGAGTGGGTTTCAAACTTGAGGATACGGTGAATTCAGGAATTAGGATCAAGTTTTCAAGGTTGCAACTTAGGTTGTGAGGTTGCCACCTTGTATGGAATCGTTAAAACATGGGATTACGAATGGGGTCTGAAGGGTAGAAAGGGTTTTGAAATAAGGAGGGGGTCGATTTTCCGAGGAAGGGAAAGGAATTCGGCTAGGATGGGTTAAGGTTTCTCGATCCCAAGTGAATAATCTGGCTAGATGCTTTGATCACGATGCGTCGACGAGCTGATGATCCTCCTTCCTTGGTGTTGGTACTTGCTTGACTTTAAGATCCTTGTTAGACCTTG